AATTAGTTTGTATAATATATATTTTTTAATATCTTAACTATATAATCCGTATTTAATAATAGTGTAAGATTTGTATTTCTTAATGTAATTGAACTTATTTTTATTTATTAGGCTGGTAAAAATTTCCCTGCTGATACATCAATTCTTCATTTAAAAAAATTGTTAGGTTCTAAAAGGAGAGAAAAAAATTATCTAGATACTGCTCCTTTTAAAACAGATGATCCTGCCTATGCAAATATTACAAATATTCCAGAATCGTTTGATGCCAGGGAACAGTGGAAACATTGTGAAACCATCGGTCATATTCCTGATCAGGGACAGTGCGGTACTTGTTGGGTAACTATCATTTGAACTACTCAATCAAAAAGATCATACTGTTGATTTTCAATACAAAACTTATCAATTCTAGAACTTATTTCATTCATTGGATCCAATTAAAATGTAAAAATATATTTAGGCTGTGAGTACTACAAGTGCATTTGCTGATCGTATGTGTATCGCTACTGAAGGAAAATTTAATCATTTGTTATCGGCTGAAGAATTAGGTTTCTGTTGTGCAGAATGTGGTAACGGTTGTGACGGTGGATATCCTATTAGGGCTTGGGAATACTTTAGTACTCATGGAGTTGTCACTGGTGGTGATTATGATACTAAAGAGGTAAGGTGAAACTAATTTCAGAAAATTACTTATTTTTATCCTCTCAATATATTGAAAGGAATTTTCATTTTTTTACAGGGATGCCAACCATATAAAGTAGAACCATGTGAAATAGACGAAAAAGGTTACAATCCTTGTGATGAAAGGCCCTTCGAACAGAATCACAAATGCATCAAACAATGTTATGGTAACAGCACCATTGATTACGAAAAAGATCACGTTTATAGTATGTTTTTTATAATATTAATTACTTCAAGATAATTTAAATAAACTTTTTATAAATAGCTAAAGATTTCTATTATCTATATGATCCTGTAATTATTCAAAAGGACATAATGGTTTATGGACCCATTGAAGCTACATTAGAGGTTTTTGAAGATTTCTTTAATTATAAATCAGGTAAAAAAATTAAAATTACATTTGAATAGTTATTTAAGGAATATTAAATCTAATAAATATTTTTATCTTTAAGGAGTATATAGTCTTTCTTCATCTAGTCCAATGTTAGGATATCATGCTGTGAAATTGATTGGATGGGGAGTTGAAGGAGGAGTTAAATACTGGTTGTTGGTGAATTCATGGAACACATCATGGGGTGACAAAGGTTTATTTAAAATCAAAAGAGGTTCTAACGAATGTGGAATTGAACTTAGAAATAGTGCCGGCGTTCCTCTTGTTCAATAAAAATGTAGAATAAATAGTGATAAATTACTGAAGCAGTAACAAAAAGTCTTTTAAGTATGGTTTAGAAGAGTCAATAAACAACAACTTTGATTTAGAAGTTTAATATAACATTAATTAAAAAAATTCACGTTCTCTATAATTTATCAACTATTGTATATTTATATTTTTTATTTTAATACATGTGTAATCTGACAAAAATAGATAATGATACATTCTGCGTTATCAACTTAATCACTTATCATATAGTTATTCAACTTAAATTCGATTAAAAAAAAACATTTATTAGTTATTTTTATGTATGTTTTCTAAAACATTAAAATATGTAATATTTAAGAGACTTGTATGTAACTTACAAAGTTTTGATTATTCATATATGAATGATTGCTGTTTTGTACTTGAATATTTTAAATAATACAAATGAAATATTTTATCATTTTAGCACTATTTTAACTATTTAGTCTCTTGGCCACCAAAACTATTTCCTTTCATCTCTCTCTATCATATGCCTGCTCCCAGTCTACTACAATTTCTTTTAATAATTCCTTTACCCTGTCATTCTATCTATCCACAGTCTTCCTCTTTGTCTCTTATCCTCGTCATATATGTTAATGTTCCTTTCAACAGATTTCCATCGGCCCGCCATACAAAACCTATCCAATTTATCTTTGTTTCTCTGGTGATCTTGACCTTATCCTCTCTTAATAAAAATATGGTATATTTGGGCGTTTGTTCTTATTTCCCATCTTTGTTCCATTTGGAACTTAAAAATGAGACAACAATGTGTCAGCGGTTCATATTGATCCAAATGTGACATATTCGGTCATTTTTTAACGTTACAAATTCGAAGGTGGACCGTTTAAAAACTAACTTTTTCAACTTAATTTTTGAAAATGTTCCGGAAATACTGCGTCCTTTAAACATATATAAAATTAAAGCTTATTTTATTTACTATAAAATGAAAAAAAAATATATAATTCTTTTTTTTATAGATGCATAATGTCTTTGCCTATCATTTGATATATTTTTTTATAAATTTAACCCTTTACCTGTCTATAGGGGAGATTCAAAATAACAAATTTTCACAAAAATGAACTTTTTAGTGTTCTAGAAATACTGACACTTTTATTTATACCTTAAATTAAAGCTTATGTAATATACTTTATTATGGAAAAAAAATATTTTGGACATTTTTTTGTCTTCACGGTGAAAATAGTATACGGTAATGCTATTTTTGTGTTAAAATTCTCGATTTTATATTTTACATTTTTGACTTTAAAATGCTGTAACTTTTTAAAAAATGATGGATCAATACAATTTTTTATGAGAAATAATATTTATATACTTCTTTCATTTGACGTACTTTTTTTTTAAATCGTACCATTTCCTTTAATACAGGAGATGTTTAAAACTTTAAAATGCATATAGAAAGTAGAACTTTTTCAACTTAATTTTTGAAAGTGTTCCGGATACGCTGATACTTTTATACATATCTTAATTTAAGATATGTATATCTTTAATTTAAGATTTTTAAATTAAAGATATACTTTATTATGGAAAAAAAATTTTCGGATGTAACATAATAATCAAACATAAATATTTATTAGAAGAATTTTGTTATTATTTAGTCGATATGCGTAACTTTAATTGCATATTTGCATTAGGCGTAAAAATAGCTTTAGAAATGTATATTTTAGTATCTGATGGAAATTCCTTGTAGACCAATAAATTTAGTTATAAGTAACAAACAAGTTTTGGTTGAAAAGTATTGCATTATGTCCTATAACTTTTCTACATGTTTGCCATAAAAATAATAATTACTTTATAATTTCTTCGTAAAAATTACAATAATAAATTATTAATTATCAATTTGATATTCTTTTTAATTGCTATTATAAATATTTATTTATAAATTATATTTTTAAATTTAAGAACTATTAATCAGAATATAAATAAGGAAATAAGAGTTCATTTTGATTTTTTAATAATCCATCAATTTTTATTTAAATTAAACACTATCTACAGATTTGCATTATAGTGTTTCTTATGATAATGATTTTAATTGTTGTCTGATATCAACTATACTTGCCCCAACTATTCCACATCCACACTGTGCTGCGACCCCATTGTACTATCGTTTCTTTTATAATTATGTTTTTGTAATGAGCTGGATTTTATTAATTATTTTATTTCATTTTTATTTTATTATAAATTAACTTGATATTATTTATGTGTGGAGAGCACGTGTTTCCGTTTTCTTCTAGCCAACCCTAAGAAGCTAGTGTCCGATAACATTAATGGATGTATTCCAATACACTCGGTAATGTTTGTTATATTATTTCATATTCTTTAAATATTTTATTTTATTTTTGTTGTCTTTCTTTATAGACATAGTTTTTGATACACTCATATTTTTGTCTATATTTAACTTAATTTTCTTTTTTAACAATTAAATAAAATTTCCTTATTAATTTTAACTGTGACACTTATTTTATTGCACGAGTAACTATGAGTAAGTATTCCCGTGTATTGCATCCCTGTTTCTTAATCTAAACACGGGCTACGGTATGTTTTACATATCAACCATTTACAAATTCATAGTTGTGATTAATAAACCACGAGGGGCTATAATCATTTATACAAAAAATTAAATTCCTCTTAATCATATCTAATAAGTGTGATACCTCTTCTAGGTGGTGGCGACCCTTGCTACTATAGCTAGTCGTTATGTATATGACAAACTACGTTGTTGTTGCAGGCCGACAAAAAGCCCACTTGTAATTTATAGCCTTAAATTTTTTTATCCATGGTATTAGACTATTGTGAATGTAATAAACCAAAAATAAAAAGAAAGAAAAGAAAAAGAAATAGAAAATTAGAGAGTGAGTATAAAAAGAAATTGGTGGTACTTAGTAAATTATTATGTTTATTATTTATTGTAAGTTTTTAAGTTTTTTTGTAGATTTTATTGTCTTCAATTTTATTTAAATTAATTTTCTCGTTAATTATTTCTTTCGTTAATTATTAATGGTTTATCACGCAATAGATTGTTGGAGGTTCGAAAGTATAGATTAAATTGTACTTACCTTATGACCTATGTAATACAATAATATTTCAAGTAATCCAGTGTTGATTTCCACGTTAAACGTACTACGGTATACGATTTACACTATACGTCATATAGTCTATATAATTACTTATAAAAAAAAAACCCAGCACAGTGGAGACGCGGCATAGTGGGGACGTTGCATAGTTGGGTCCAGTATAGATTTAATCTGACAGTGATTAAAATCACTATCATAAGAAACGCTTCGATGCAAATCAGTAGATAGTGTTTAATTCTAAGAAATTGGTGGATAATTACAAAAGCTACATTATCTGCTAGTTTCTTATTAATACCCTGATTAAGATAAAGTATGTCGAATGAAAAAGGGATTATTAAAAAATATTATTTCTCATAAAAAAATTGTGTTGATTCGTACACTTTTCAATGAGTTATAGCATTATAAAGTTAAAAATGTAACCAACCCAACCCAACATCAACTCCTATTTCCTTAATTATATCCAGATTAGTAATTATTTTAATTATATATTATATAATTTTTATAATTAATTATTTTCAAATTATTATTGATTTTTAATATGTTAAAAGTAATCATTTTGAACCTACTTCTTTTTGTTCTTTAAAGTGAAAGTTTTAATAAAAAAAAAATGAATTTATTACCATAACTTTTAACTCAACTTGCAAGTTTGAAATAAATATTATTAAATAGAAAAAAAT